TGCTGCTACTATATGCCAGATAATACGTATTTCTACGTATCTGATTGATAACTAGCCTTAATCGAAAGTTCTCTCTCGTTATCGGGAGGGGTAATTAACTATAGGGGCTTGCGCCTATAGGAAACCAGAACTCAGATCATAAAGTTCTCGCAAAATGAAGGCAAAATCTCTGGGTAGTGCCTCATCTACAAACCCATCTGCCTTCCAAAATTTACCTCGGAACTTAGTTCGTTAAAACTCCCCCGTCGAATAAAAAGAAAAAGCGGGCGGAGGCAGTGGCCGAATTTTCGGAGCCCACATAGATGAGGATGCTCAGGTGGATGAGTGGCTTTACCCTTAGATATAGGATACAAAATGAGCATATACATGAAAAGGTTGGAGTAGCTCCAGTAGAATATAAGATTAGAGAGAGTCGCCCTAGATGGTTTAGTCACATAAAACAATGGCCTTCCGAGGACCCGGTTAGGAGAGTAGCGGTATTAGATTTGATTTATGTTAAGAAAGGTAGAGCCAGACCTAAAAAGACTTGGTTAGAAAATATAAGGAATGGCCTTTCTTTATTAGATTTAAACGAGAATTTGACTTTTAATGCACAATAGAGAAAAAGGATTCATGTAGCCGACCCCACGTAGTGTGATAAATGCTTGATTTTGTTGTTGTACTCATTGTTATTTTTGTTCATAGTAGATCCTATAGGAGTATTAGGTTGACGATCACAACAGGAGCAATTCTACCAGCCATAACTTATATTTGGTATTTTTATTATGCGTAGTAAGTCATTTATGCTTTCTTTTAAGGGTTATATAATTTAATTTATGTTATTGCTTGCAGTAGATTTATATTGCTGATGTAATGTTATTTGAACTTATGATAATGGAATAAAAGTTAGCTCTTTTCCATTATTTATTCTGATAAATATATTTGTGTTAGATTGCTTGTACAAGCATTTTCGCTTTGTGAATACAAAACAGGTCTTCATATCCCTTCATCGCGTCTCGTTTTGCCAGAGTATGTTGTCTTTAGGACCTGAGATGTGACAAAATATCCATTCTAATTTGCTTCACATGAGCTGTTCTTTCCATACATAATGACACGTGATACTAATTATGATATATTGATTAAGAGAGAAACAAACCAACCAATGCCTGTTCATTCAAATTAGTCATTTTTTTCTTTAAAACAAGACAATGTGTCTCAAACACAAGAAAAGGGAATGAGACCAGAAATAAAGGGAGCTGAACGATAAGGGGTAGCAAGAGCAAGCTACAAAGAGAAAGATACAGAGAGGGAGACCATAAATGGGCTTCAATGGAGTAGGCGAGCTTGAGTGGAGTAGGTGAGTGGGCCCATGGGCTTGAGTTGACAAGAGGAGATGGAGACCACAAAAAAACTAGGGAGCAAGGAGACAAGAACGAGCAACCAAGAGAGGAAGAAAGCTACGATGTGATGGAGCTAGCAAGTATGGAGAAGAGAGTGAGCGAGTGACCACGAAAGGGAGAGAGCAATGATCAAGTACTCAAGTGGCTAAAAACAAACAAGACTAAGTTTTATGATAAATAGTAAATATTTGATTTTAAATTATAAATTTCAAAATAGCATATAGATTTAGTTATGGTTTCTGAAAGGTAAATAATAGAAATGCAGACAATATATAGATAAAAATGTTTACTACGATTTGAAATATTAATAGAAATTTTGTCTTGTTTAAATAAGGAGGTTGATATGTTCAACTAAGAATATATTTTACTTTGATTAAAATTAGTGAAGAAAATTATAATTTAATTTGAAATAAATGTTAAGTTTTAATTTAATGATAATATTTAAATTTTAATGATATGGTAAACAGTGGAATATTTCAAATATTAATGATAACCTATATATTCAATAAAAAAAATAAATATTAATTAAAAAGGATATATATGTATATGTGGAAGAAAAACATATACAGGGTTTAAATAAGATTAATTAACAAGAATATCTCATATATGCAAATATAGGTATTCAACTAAAGGAGGTGAAGTTAAGGGCTTCAAGACAAAAACAAGTCATATGAATTTGGCGTTGTAACTTCTATTTCTAATTTGGCGTTATACTTCTAAATCAAACTCATCGATTGCTATTGATATTCATTTTATTAATTGTTATTGCAACTCAATTATGTTTATATATGTTATCGAAAAAATTGATCATCTTGAAATTAATGATAGTTTCTACTCACATTTAATTGTTTATCATATGCCATTTAATATTACTATAAATAATATGTAATGATATGAAAACACAAATGAACTAATTTAAATATGAGTACTTGCATGTGCATGTTTGACTGATAGAGTTCACCCTCTTATGATACTAGTTACGAACACAATGTACCAACATGTATAAATTGGAAAAGATTTTAAAAATGAAAATGAAAAAAAAAACTTAATGGCACAATTTAAACAAAATCTCCCATGATGGTTGTATTATTTACAAAATAGCTAAGATAAGATATGCAATATGATTTCTCATTACTCATATTACTGTTGTATGATTAAATGTTTCAAAGCTTCTTAGAATGCCATCTTTAAATATTATAATTTGTCAAATAATTATGCCTTAAGACAAACATATATATTATTTCAATGTTCTTTTATGTTATTGTAATTTAGAAACATGATGTATCTACTGAGATGCACTATAACTCACTTCTATTATTTAAGAAATGTGTATGGGTAAAAGTTTGAGAATTAAATGAGTGGAAGAAGAGAAAATTTGTACTGCAAACATGGCTCTAAGAGAGGATATTTGCTTTGGGATGTTTATACTTTTAGTTTAAAATGGATTTTATGGTAATAGTAGCTTTTTCGACATTTTGGAAATATATTGTTATCAATTAATTTGTATGAATAATATTTAAATCTCTATCCGACTGTATACTCCCCTCTCAGTAGTTCAATCTTTTGGGTCAGATTGTGATACCAATACTTCGATTATCATACAAATATGACTTTCAGTATAAATAAATCTAATCCTTGCAGTAATCTATACTTTCTTAAATTCCCGAGTTGGGAGAAATGATACACATCAAGTGTCACTCTCACTACCTGTGCACATTTAATATGTTCGATTTACCAGTTTAGAACTCAAACTTGATCGTCAAGATGCTTTCATTATTTTACATAAACTAAAAGCTTAGCATAACAAAGAATAAGTTCCACAGAACCAAGATAGCAGCCAATGTAAATGTAATGTTTTAACCTTATATTCAAACATGGATTCAAAATGTTTCTCTAAGAAATATTTGGAGCAACAAATATATAGCTTGGTACCTATGTTGCACGATACGGATACGGCGACACGGATACGACATGATACGGATACGGGACACGTCAATTCTTAAAAATATAGAATACGGGTACGGCGCGGACACGGCATTATAATTTATAAATCATACATAAAAATTAAGAAAGCAATCAAAGCATGATATTTGAAATTATAAAAAAAATGAAGGTAACATCATTTGTAGCCTTGTAGTTTATAATATTAAAATAAAAGTAAGCATTAAATGTCTAGTACAAAAACAAAAGCATAAACATAAATTGTCTAGCACATGAAATTTCAACTATTCAATAGAAGGAATGATATGATTAGCTTCTTCAGTGGTTTGTCTTTGAACTTCTATATCATCTTCAATAAATATCATAGCTTCTAATTTAGGCTCATCAAGTGAAAGATTAGCAATTTCTAATATTCCCATATCATCAAGAGACTCAAATCCATCTCGGAAATGAGAGAACCTCGCTCCCAACCGTGGAAGTAAATACGTAGGTCTTTTTTTCGTTTTTTTTTTCACCGGACACGCGTATTGGATACGCGTGTCCTTTTGAAATTAAATACTATTTTAATTGGATACGGTAAATTCGTATCCGGCACGTATCAGTGCCGTATCGGAGGCGCATCCATGTATCGGTGTATCGGATGCAACACGCCTTCGTAAATAGGTGTATATGTGCAACATAGCTTGGTACAGCTCAAGCTAAAATGATTAGTCTGTAATAACAAGTGAAACAAGGAGCAATATTGCTAAGAATAGTAGCACAACCAATAACTAGCTGATTGTGAGGTTTTGAGCTCAATAATTGCAGATGCATTTTTCTATACGGGCATAGGATGTTTTTTTAATACATTCAGGAAAAGAAGACCAAGAAGAGCTTTATTCAAGAATGATAGAGCAATAACCTGTTCCATCACTAAAGAAATATCTTGAAAGTTTAGTGCTACCACATCTGTATTGCCAAATACTGCTGCTGCTGAGGTTATCAATACGTAGTTAACCAGAAAAATTCCAGTGAAAATGAAGAGAATGGCAAAAAAATGGTCATAAAATAAGGCTCCCAGGGCAACATTTGACTGCCTACCCTGCTGCTGCATGAAAAAAGAGATTCAGTTATTAGGATATTAGCAAACACGATTTTTGGCAAAATTCAGGGGATGCTCAAACAAAAGAACAACGAAATAAACATTCTGATAGTTATGTGGAAACATCCAACAACAACAACAACATCAAGCCTTTATCCCACTATGTGGGGTCGGCTACATGAATCCTTTTTCTCCATTGTGTCCTATTAAAGGTGAAATTCTCGTTTAAATCTAATAAAGAAAGGTCATTCCTAATATTTTCTAACCAAGTCTTTTTAGGTCTGCCTCTACCTTTCTTAACATAAGTCAAATATAATACCTCTACTCTCCTAACCGGGTCATTAGAAGGCCGCCGTTTTATGTGACCAAACCATCTAAGGCGACTCTCTCTAATCTTATCTTCTACTAGAGCTACTCCAACCTTTTCACGTATATGCTCATTTCGTATCCTATCTCTAAGGGTAAAGCCACTCATCCACCTGAGCATCCTCATCTCTGCCACACTTAACTTAGTATTATGCTTCTCTTTTAATAGCCAACATTCAGCACCATAAAGCATTGCAGGCCTCATTACCATCTTATAGAATTTTCCCTTAACTTTGAGGGGGACTTTTCTATCACACAACAAGCCTGATGCATTCCTCCACTTCAACCATCCAACTTGAATTCTGCTGATAATATCCCCATCTATTTCACCATCACTCTGAACAATAGATCCAAGATATCTAAAACGTGTACTCTTATTAATGACTTGATCGCCCAAAGTCACAATCCCCTCACTATGTCTATTACTACTAAAATTACACTCCATATATTCCGTTTTAGATCTACTCAAGCAAAAACCTTTAGTCTCTAATGTTGACCTCCATAAATCAAGTTTACTTTCAACCAAGTTACGTGGAAACATCCGTTTAAAGAAAAAGTATAATCTGATCTAGAAGTCTAGAATGTGCACTATGATGTCAGCTCCCCCAAGTCACATATATTGGCATATAGTCATCCTTCTTCCAATGTAAGGAACTGTAGAAGTTATGATGTGCTCATTTCAAACTACAGTGAATTATTTTTTTAAGTGTGGCCGTGAACAAAGGTAAGAAATTTTCATCGAACAAAATAATTTATGAAGTGTTGAGTTTTTTGCATTACCTTTTTTTATCCTTGATTTTACTCTTTTGACATTTCACCCAACAACTTGAGCAAAGAGGATATTTAAACTCAATCATCAGCAAGTCATTTCCTCGTAAATAAGTTCGTGAAAATGGTGTTTACTGGCTATTGGAAATTTGAGAAAATAATTAATTATCCCAACAGAGAAGAGAATTTTTTAAATATCTGTCTACTTGTTTTGCACTACGAGTATAGGACAAAAGAATTAAAATTAAACAAAAATCTAAAAGGGCATTTAAAAAGTACATAATAGTATCAATAACATTCTGATAAATACACTAGCAAATTCACTTGTTTTAAAATTGACTCAATTCTTCATGTTTGGTTGCAATATTCATTGCACTAGATCTGACGAGTCATTGAATAGGATCTAGATGTGCTTAATCCCTGTATTTATCTCCCAAGGATTAACACAATCAAGCTTCACAGGATTGGTGACCCGCTACAATACCAGTGCAGAAATCCCTCAAATCACATGCAAATGAAGTAATAGGCTTTCAATTTCCATAATACATCAAGGATCCTGATCCTTTCTTTGGAAATATGCCTCGGGCTGTGACGAGAATGCCTTATAATTTTGTGAGGTAGCATCTGCGATTAGAATGCCAAATAATTTAGTGAGGTAGTGTTGACGATATCAAAATATAAGGAGACAATTTTCTAAACTTTATCTTGAAAACAGGGTCATTCCCTCAGTTGGGAGACTTGGATGATTGCATGCAAAAAGAAGATCTCTCTCGATTAAGGATTATCAGCTTGACAGATATTTGATGGTTAATGTATTTCATTATAAACGAATGACAATAGCTAAGGCTATAGTTGGCATCATCTTGGTGGCTAGTATCAAGTTGAAGGCAATCCAAATTGGTGATGATTTTTTGGACTTATTCCTATTTAGGAGTTGAGTGTGCTTAAGTTTTGGGAAGGATTGACCAGTATCATAATTTCTGTACACAGTTTACGTCTTCTTATTCAGTGCAGCAGATCCTCTCATTTTTTGGGCAAATTTTCCAGTCACCGGACGCGGAGATAGGTCCGGATATTAATAAAATATTATTTTAAATTAAGCGTGTCAAAAGCACAGGTAAAGCGTAAGTATAGCGCAGGTAAAGCATAGGTATAGCGCAGTTGATGCTATCAAGAATTTATGTACTTTTTATTCTATTTGAACAATAGTATATTTTGTTTTCTTTTCTTTTTTAGCTATCCAATGATGGGAAAGCATCCAATGATCATGGTAGGTAGTGCATATGGCTTGGTAGACCTTTGGTTTGCTGGCTCGATTGGTCCCTGACTGCTGGTGGTTCACGGGTTGGCTGTTTTGGAGCATT